TGTGAAACTGACAGATTTAAACATCGCTAACCGAAAAAAAACAGCTGTTCTTCAAGCTGGTCAAAAAATCTCAGCAAAGCTAAATTTCTAGTTTCAAGGGTTTTACATTTATACAAACATATTTCTTAATGAAGCTCATGGATATTGGATGGGGAGGGGGCAGTATTTTCCTGGTACTATTACTAAGCTAATTAATATTTTCCTGGTTTAAGGTAATAACCAATAAAAGAAGTTCATGTTAGAGCACAGCTGGTTTGAACTGTGAAAAATATCAGCCTTAAAATACTTTGTTCCAAAAGCTTATTAGCAATTTTAAAAAAATGAAGGGTGAGAAAAGAGTTAAAAACATAAGACCTGCCATTTGCTGGGTTACACTATACGTCCATCTTTTCCACAGGTCCATTGTGTCAAGTGGCAAAGTGGATGCTGAAAGAGAGAGTGAACTGGGTATGACCAGGGTTTTTTCCACTGTTCGCCTCTCACTTGCAGGCTCCAGCATGTAAGTTCTAGCAAGTTCTGCTTCAGAGGCTGTATCCCTAACTCCAGTGCTCAGTACAATAGCTACTGATGCCCTTTTTCTCCAACAATCTGTCCAGTCCCTTTTTGAATCCCTTTTTGCGTTACTACATCATCACTGGTAACTATTACTATAATGTGTTCATACTGCTTTTCTACCGTGTACATTTGTGTATATGCATGAACTTTCATTTTGGGGAATGAACCTCAGGAGTTGGTTTTTTTTTCCTTTTTTTAATAGCCCAAAGGCACTATATGAAGTTTGCTTCTATTCTCTTTGGTGTCCAGCTGTGTCAAATACCAGTACACTTGCTTTCACTACGTGTGCATTAATGCACCATTCCTAACACACATGAAATTTAGTACCTCCAATATGAGGTATTAAATAAAAGTGCAGTAGGCTGTGCTAATGTACAGTAGTGCAAGCACATGCGTTTTAGATGATGCTTAATGTGCAGTAGCCTATTCTACTGCGCACTTGTGTATTAGCACTTTTTTATGCACTGCTTTAATGTGCAGTAGAATAAGCAACTGCACATTAAAGCGCACGTGTAGACACACTCACAGAATCCTAGAATCATGGAGAAGTAAGGCTGGAAGGAACCTCCAGACGTCACGTAGTCCAATCCCCTGACTGAGCCAAGATCATCCCTATCCAAACCATCCTATATAATCCATAATCTAAACTCTTCATAAAACTACTGTCAACCCTGACACAACGCAGACCTAACACCCTAACCTGCCACAGGTAAAGCAGATGAATCATGGCAGCCAACATCCTGCTTCATAGAATCATAGAAAGTGAGGGTTGGAAGGGACCTCAGGAGGTCCAACCCTCTGCTCAAAACAGGACTGTCCCCAACTGTATCATCCCAGCCAAGGCTTTGTCTACCTAGATCATAAAAACCTCTAAGGATGGAGATTACACCACCTCTCTGGGTAGGCTCTTCCAGTGCTTTACTACCCTCCTAGTGAGAAAGTTTTTCCTCATATTTAACCTAAACTTCCCTTGCTGCCACTTGCGAGCATTTCTCCTTGCTTTGTCATCTGCCATGGCTGAGAACGATCTAGCTGCATCCTCTTTATAACCCCCCTTTAGGTAGTTGAAAGCTGTTATTAAATTCCCCCTCAGCCACCTTCTTTCCAGGCTAAATAAGCCCAGTTCCCTCAGTCTCTCCTCATAAGCAAGGATCTGGGTTTTCTGTTTCCCACAGAAAAACAGAGAAAACCATGGATTTCCCATTTTTATCAGAGAAAATGTGGATTTTCCCTTTTAGAAGAGAAACCTCTGGATTTCCCCCTTTTGCAAAGAGCTCTGCAGGCTGGCTGAGTTCCAGCCTACAAGAGCTGTTTGCAAAAGGGGCAGGAAACCCTCAACCCTGCCAGGAGGGGAAGAGAGGGGGGAAGGGTGAGGCCTGATGCTCGCACTTACCGGAGGCTGCTTCAGGCTCACTTTTCTTGCTGGAGATAAGTGGGGCTTGGGGGTTGTGGGGCAGGGCTGAGGAGGGGGGGAGGGGGAAGCTGGCTAGGGGCTGAGGGAGCGGGGAGGTTTGCAGCTGGCCAGGCACTCTGGCCGGGAGGGGGTTTGCAGCCTCCCCACTCCCAGCTGGGGTGCCCAAGATGGCTGGGGGCTGGGGAGGCAGGGGGG